GTAGTAGTAGTAGTAGTAGTAGTAGTAGTAGTAAGAGAAGGAAAAAGAGGAGAAGGAGGAAGAGGAGGAGGAGGAGGGATAGGAGGATCCGTGAACGTTTTCTTATTCGGAGTTTCGACATTGGGAGGAAGGGGGAGGGGGGAGGGGAGGGGGTTCTGGTTCCGGACCCGTGCTTCACGCGACTATTTGCAATAGTGCGTCCTGTGGAGGAGGCTCCACCTGTTTGAAGCAGGCACCGAAAACAGCCAATATCTACTCCATAGGGGGAGGGGAAGGGGGGGTGCGAGGGCCCGCGCCGGTGCTCGTAATTTTCGTTTTGTTCCCCAAATGTTTCGTGGACTTCTTTTTTTCTTCCCACCCGCGTCGCACCTGCGTTTCCCTCACCACCTCCCGCCTCCCCCTGTCTCCTCCTCGTCGTCGTTCTTCCGTTCACCCACACGCAACACATGCATTGCACGTGCATCAGACACGCGTCTACATGCAGCTTCACGCATGCAGGTGTGGCACTTTCCCGATACCATGAGGGGTGCGCAAGGGGTGGTCCCTGAGCGCGGCCGCTATCCGCGCCGGTCGTCCAGGGCATAGCAGGAAGGCACTTTCCCGACACCATAGCGGGTGCGCAGGGGGTGGTCCCTGAGCGCGGTTGCTATCCGTGCCAGTCGTCCAGGGTATAGCAGGAGTGGCACTTTCCCGACACCAGAAGGGTTCGCAAGGGGTGGTCCCTAAGCGCGGCCGCTATCCGTGCCGGCTGTCCAGAGCTTAGCACGAGTGGCACTTTCCCGATACCATAGGATGTGCGCGAGGCATAGCAGGAAAGGCACTTTCCCGACACCATAGGGGGTGCGCAGAAGGGTGGTCCCTGAGCGCGGCCGCTATCCGCGCCAGTCGTCCAGGGCATAGCAGGAAAGGCACTTTCCCGACACCATAGCGGGTGCGCAAGGGGTGGTCCCTGAGCGCGGTCGTTATCCGTGCCGGTCGGGCCAGACTGGCTGGGGCCCCAGGGAGGCCGGCCAGGACGGGGCACGCGGCCACATCCGCTCAAAATCAGTCCCCCGACCCCACCTGGCGTCCGTCCGGTGTTAGGTCTAAGTCGGGCATGTCCCCCTACAGGGGGATTCTCGACGAAAAATGAAAAATACTCAAGAAATGCTCCCAAATGGTTTTTTAAAAAGGCCTCAAAAAATAATCCCCATACTATTTTTTGATTATTTTTGAATATTTCCTCACAATTTATTCAGACGCTGCGCCCCCGACGCATCCAGGACTCACGCTGTCGCTCTGACGATTTACATGGGAATCGCGCTATCGCTCGAGAGTTCCTCGCGATTCATGAAATACTCACGCTTCAGCAACCCGCCTGCTCGACCTGACCGCTAAGGCCCGCTTTCCCGGCGCGCCTGTTCGGGTCTACCCGCCCGATGGGCCCGTCTGGTTGTGCCACGTGGTTTCTGCTCCTAGCCCCCGTCCTGCTAATCCCGTGTTCCGTCCTTCTCCCTCCCCCTTCCATCCGTCCTCTCTTCCTCTCCTTCAGGGGCTGCATCAAGTACGCGCGGCAGGTAAGGAAGATACGCACCCGAGCGGGTACGATCGAAAACGAAGAGGGCGGGTTCCTAGCAATGTATTCAAGAATCGCGCCCTCGCGCGGGATTTCCTCATAATATATATATATATATATATGTATATATATATATATATATATACAAATCGTGCTGTCGCGTCGGACTCCCTCGCGATGTATTCAAACGATGCGCCCTCAGCGCTCAGGAGTCACGCCGTGGCTGTGAGCTTTCTCACGATTTGCTTGGGAATCGCGCTGTCGCTCGAGACTTCCTCGCGATTCATGCAGGACCCACGCTTCAGCAACCCGCCTGCTCGACCTGGTCGCCTAGGCCCGCCTTCCCGGCCTGTCCTCCAATTATGCGTTTGTCCTCCCGATCTGCCCGTCTGGTTCTACCACTTGTTTTCTGCTCCTTGCCCCCCTCCTGCTAATTTCTACCGTTTTCCATTACTCTCCCTCCCCCTTCCGCCCGTCCTCTCGTCTCCTGTTCAAAGGGGTGCACCAAATGCGCGTGGCAGGTAAGGAAGATATATCCCCAAGGGGGTACGATCGAAGACGACGAAAACGGGTACCGAGGGTTTGGGATATACGTGTTGAATAGCACGCGAGCGGGTAAGAGCGAACAGTCTTAGCATGATTGTTGTTGTTGTGGTGGTGGTGGTTGTTGTTGTTGTTATTCTGGTCGTGTTTGTTGTTGTTCCTTGCTTCATCCTAAACTGCTGTTGGTCGATTCGAATCAACCAGATCCACCGAACGAAACGCTACTAGGAAATCGGCAAGCTGCTTGAGACATCCCCGCAATCTGGGCGCAAACGGGCGAATGTAGCACCCGCTGGTGGCTCCCCCTTCTGGGGGTGCCGAAATGCCACGCCTGCTTTATCGCGATGATCACGGGGCTCTCAGAGGAAGAGGAGTCTGGTGGGCAAAAGCAAGCAAGCCGCTTGAGACGTTCCCACAACCTGGCCTCGAACGAGCGAGTGTAATAACCCCCAGCCGGCTCTTCCTTGGAATGCCCATGTGCCACGCCTGCTATGCCGAGTGATCATGGACGCAGGCAAACTGCTTGAGACATCCCCCCACACTCTGGGCGCAACCTGGCGAGTGCAATTCCCCATGGCGGCTCCCCCGTGGGGTGCCCAAGCGGCACGCCTGATATGTCGCGGTCATCATGGGGCTTTCAACAGAGAGAAGACTGGGAGGCAAAAGCAGGCACACCGCTTGAGACTTCCCCCCAATTGGGCCGCGAACGGGCGAATGCCATTATCACCCCCAGGCGCCCCTCCACGGAAAGCCCGCATACTATGCCGCGGTGACCGTAAGGTGAGTGTGCATGGTCAATCCGTGTCGTCTGTGTGAGTGTGGCTATGAATGAAATTTGGCTGGTTATGAATGGTCTGAGAGGGAGTGGCCTGTGCATGAATGAGTCTGACTATGCGCAACTCTGATGAACGGATCTGAATGAAAGTGGGTCGGGGTATGTGCGGATCTCAGTGTGGATGAATCTCAGTGTGAGCGAGTCTGAGTATGAGTGATCTGAGTCAGCGTAACAGGCAAGAGGCGGGAAGAGTGAGTGAGGCGGAGGCGTCCCAGTAAGAGCAAGACGCCCGTACGTAGGATATGGAGACGACTAAGCATCGGCAATCATCCCAAACTTTTGGAGGTCCGCGCAGATTTCTTGGATCGGTGCTGACCCCCCTCACTGGCGCGCGGAGCGCGCCAAGGGCAACACCAGAGGCGCCGCCAAGGGAGTCCAGCGCAGATCCAAAACATCCGCGCGGACCTCCGAACATCACCTGTTCTTCGAGAGGGAGATGGAAACGATCAGGTGTTCGTAAACCGGGGAGGGGGCAATAAACGCGAGGTGAAGAAACGTATGCCACTTCGTGCTTCTTTTGGGCCCGTGGTGGCAGCCCAGGTCCCTTTTTCGGGCACCTTTTCGGGCCACACGGTGGCAATCCTCGGTCCCCCACATGCATTGCCCCTCCCGTTTCCGGACATCCGATGCTTGTCCTTTTCAGCGCGCGGCCCGCGGCCCCCAGAAGTCCCCGATCCCGGGCTGTGTTTCGACGGTCCCGGGGCCCGACGAGGGCCCCCAAGGCCAGAAGATTACCCAGAACCTTCCGCCGTGATTCCCGTTCGCTTCTTTGCCGTTGCCTTCCGCCCGAGACGGAGGACGCGGGAATCCGCTGGGCCTGGTCCACCAGAAGTCCAGGCAGTTCCTCACCGCGTTCCTGCGCGGGAGAGGGGCGGGGAGGGGGGAAGAAGAGCGGGCGAGGAGCCTCCTCCTCCTCCTCCTCCTCCTCCCTCCTGGATCCCCGCCCCCTTTCCGCGCCTCCTTCCTCCATGGCCTCTCTCCTTGCGGCCCCCCCGCCCCACCCTCCCGTTCCCCCCCCCTCGGGCGCCAGCAGACTGGATGGGGGTGGGGCGCTTTCGGCCCTTCCCCTTCCTCCCCGATCCTTCCATTCTTCTGGAATCTTCCTCCTGCCTGTCCTTCTCCTGCTCCCGCCCGATCCCTCCTTCCTCTTTCTCCTCCTTCTCCGCCTCCTCCTCCTGATCATTGTTTCCTCTTCACTTCCTACATTTCTTCCTCCAGCTCCTCCCCCTCCCACTCCCCCTTCTACTCCTCCTCCTCCTCCTCCTCCTCCTCCTCCTCCTCCTCCTCCTCGTGCTCGTGCTCGTGCTCGTGCTCGTGCTCGTGCTCGTGCTCGTGCTCGTGCTCGTGCTCGTGCTCGTATTCCTGCTCGTGCTCCTGCTGCTCGTGCTCGTGCTCGTGCTCGTGCTCGTGCTCCTGCTCGTCCTCCTGCTCCTGCTCCTGCCCCTGCTCCTGCCCCTGCTCCTGCTCCTCCTGCTCCTCTTCCTCCTCCCGCTCCTCCTCCTCCTTTGCCTCCTGTTCTTCCTCTTCCTCCTTTTCCCCCTCTTCCTTCCTTCATCATTCCTCCTCCTCATCCTCCTCCTGCTCCTGCTCCTGCTCCTGCTCCTCCTCCTCCTCCTCCTCCTCCTCCTCCTCCTCCTCCCTCCCTCCCTCCCTCCCTCCCTCCCTCCCTCCCTCCCTCCCTCCCCCCTCCCTCCTCCCTCCCTCCCTCCCTCCCCCTCCCTCCCTCCCTCCCTCCCTCCCTCCCCCCCTCCCTCCCTTCCCCTCCCTCCCTCCCTCCCTCCCTCCCTCCCTCCTCCTCCCTCCTCCCTCCCTCCCTCCCTCCCTCCCTCCCCTCCCTCCTCCCTCCCTCCCTCCCTCCCTCCCCTCTCCTCCTCCTCCTCCTCCTCCTCCTCCTCCTCCTCCTCCTTCTCGTAGCCCGCCACATCATGACCGGCGGCATGTGCGCGGCTCAGCAGGGGGACCAGGGACGTAATGAAATACGAAGAGGCGCCATGAAATCTGAGGAAAAATCATGGCCCACGCCATGAAATCCCCCCCCCCTAGTCATCACCCCCCTCTTTGCCGCCCCCGAGTGAAGGGTTTGTCTGTTCGAGTCGTCGTCTTCGTCAGCCGTCGTCTCCGTCGTCCCCTTTCCGTGCGCCCTCCTCAAGGCTGCCAGCGAAGGAACAATCTGGCAATGTCGCAATCGAGTCGCAGGGAAGCCCCTTCCCTCTGATCTCTCCCCCGTCGAGGGGGTCCCGGGGAGGGGGGGTCAGATGCGCGACACCCCCTGGGGGTCCCGGGGCACCAAAGAGTATCAAGACAGGCCAATAGTACCAAGAGGCGCCCGAGACGGTCCAATAGGGCCCCCAATCGCCAAGCGATCGGTCCAAAACGCCTTCACGCCCTCCAGACTGCGCTGGGGGCCTCCAAGACGCCCCAAGCAGCCTCCAAGAGCACTCCCGAGAGGGACCCAAGAGACACAACTCATTGATTTTCTTTCGGCTTTCAAAGAAATGTTTGGCGTTCTAGCCTTTTCCGCTTCCCGCCGCTCCAGGACGGCCTAAGAGGCCCCCAGTATCGTTCCACGACAGCCTCCAAGAGGGCCCCCCACGACGGCCCAAGAGGCCCCCCAAACATTTCAAAATGCCTCCAAGACGGCCCCCTAGAGGCCCCCAAGACGGCTCCAAGAGCGTGCCCAAACGGCAGACCCGGACGGGGGCCCCGAGAGGCTCCCAGGAGGCCCCAAAAGTTTACCACTAGGCTCCAAATGGCCCACAAGAGGCCACAAGGAAGTCCGAGAAGGCCCTCGAGAGGCTCTCAGGAGGCCCCCATCCCGAGAGGCCCCCAAGAGGCTCCCGAGAGGTCCCCAAATTCCTCCCTCCCCAGAGGCCCCCGAAATTCTTCCGAAGAGACCCCGAGAAACATCTCTGAGGACTGTGGCTCACGTCAGCGTCGTCGTCGTCGCCGCCGCGGCCGCCGCCGTTGTCGTCGTCGTCGTCGTCGTCGTCGTCGTCGTCGTCGTCGTCGTCGTCGTCGTCTTCCTCCTTCAGGGTCGGCGGCACTGGTCGTGAGGCGTTCGCAAGACGCAGTAACGAAATCCGATGCACAACAAGAACAATGCGAATAAAGGGGCAGACGACTCCCCAGCCATCTCAGGAGCAGAGAGGCGAGCATTCAGACTGAGCACAAACTGTGGAGGAGAAGGGAGGGGGGGAGGGGAGAGGAGGAAGAGGGAAAGGGGAGGAGGATGAGAGAGAAGGGATGGGGCAGAGTGAGGGGGGGAATGGGGAGGATGAGCAGGGCAGGGGGGGAGGAGAGCGAAAAGGGGTGACAGTGACGTGGGACGGGCGGAGGACTAAGAGGGAGGGGGCGGGACGGTGGGCGGATGGGGCAGAAGGATTTCGACTTCGTCTGCGAGAGGTACAACGGAGACGACATCAACTTCGACTCGGCCTCCGACTTCGGTGGCCACTTCGACTTCGACTTCGACATGGCCACGTCGAAGTCGACTTCCACGGCCACGGGGTGGGACGGGGGAGGTGAAGTATCGAGGCTGGGGGGAAGAGGATGCAGATATACCCGAAGGACTCACTGACTGAACGCTGGGATCGATCTACACTCAGAACAAAGCTCCGAATATAGAAACATAATTATCCCAGTGCGACCCTACCTAGGACTTGGAGCCTCTAGGAAAACAACATTAGTAGGAGTTGGAGCCTCTAGGAAAGCAACATTAGTTACATGCACACACACACGCACACACACATGCAGCATTCCACATGGGTGTTATGCATATATATATATATATATGTATATACACATATATTTGCAGATATGTAGAAACGTCGGGTTTCATGTCGGGTTTCATGCGATAATACGTCGGTTTTCATGTCTCCCGGCCGGTGCTATGTGCGAAACCTTCGTGTATCCTAGGGCTCAAGCTGCCCCACTAAGGGCTCAAGATGGCCCACAGACGGACAACACGCATGGAACATACGTGCGCACACACATATAAGTATATATATATATGTATGTATGTATATATATATAGCAGCAGCAATAGTGGATGCTGCGCTGCGCTATGCTATGCTATGCTATGCTCTGCTCTGCTCTGCTATGCTATGCTGCGCAATGCTATGCTGGGCTAGGCTAGGCTAGGCTATGCTGCGTTATACTATGCTGCGCAATGCTATGCTATGCTATGCTATGCTATGCTATGCTGCGCTATGCTATACTGCGCTAAGCTATGCTATGCTATGCTATGCTATGCTTTTGCTTTGCCTTCGCTTTTGCCTTCACTTTTGCCTTTGCGTTTACTTTTGCTCGGCACCCAGGGAGCGCAACTGGGGGAACCGCGCGTTTGCTTTTACCTTTGCTGTTGCTTTTGCTTGGCTCCCAGGGGACTGGGGGAACTGCCCGGGGCGCGTTCCACTGCCCGGCCCCTTTAAGCGAAGAGAGTAAGAACCCTTCTAGGCAGAGCCTAGGTAGGGAAAAAACGCTACCAACATGAACTTTTGGTGCTCCGCGCGGATTTATTGGATCTGGGCTAGAACCCCCTCCCCGGCGCGCGGAGCGCGCCAAGGGCGGTGCCGGAGGCGCCGCCGGGGGAGCCCAGCCCCAGCGCGGATCCAAGAAATCCGCGCGGAGCGCCAAAAGATTATGCCTATGCCTTTTTCCTCTTCGAAGAAGCCGTAGAGGAGGAGGAGAAGGATGAGGATGATGATGATGAGGATGAGGAGGAGAAGGAGAAGGAGGAGGAGGAGGAGGAGGAACAGGAGAAGCAGGGGGAGCAGGAGGAGCAGGAGGAGCAGGAGGAGCAGGAGGAGGAAGAGGAGGAGGATGAGGAGGAGGAGCAGGATGAGCAGGGGGAGCAGGCGGAGCAGGAGGAGCAGGATGAGCAGGGGGAGCAGGCGGAGGACCAGTCTAAACCCAAGAACCATCAACGATGTTGGAATACACCCTCCCTCCAAGCTCCCTCTTCATAGGCCCCTACAACGGATCATTTCCATTGATAGATCTGCCTTGTTGGAAGGCAACCGTTTGAAGACGCGGAAGCATGCCAAAAAATGGTTCTCGAGATTCCAACGTCACGGATCAACCTGACTTTTGCGTCGTGACAATCCTGGATCGTGTCAGAACGTCATTATTGCAATTTCAACACCGTCAAGCAACGTAACTGTTGCACCCGCAAAATCCAGAATCCTTCCAGAATGTCATTCCTGGTATGTTGATCGTGGCAGTCCGTGAAACCCTTGCAAATTTTATGAACGAATGCGGGCGGCGCTAAGGCGATAACCACATTTTGAAAAGGAACCGCCCTCAATCCGTGAAGCTCTTGCACATTTGTAGAACGAATGTGCGCAACGCTACGGCGAGAACCACATTTTGAAAACGGGTTATCCCCAATCCGTAAAATTCTTGCACATGCTTGAACGAATGTGCGCGGCGCTGAGGCGACAACCACATTTTGAAAACGGGTTATCCTCAATCCGTGAAGCTCTTGCACACATTTAAAACGAATGTGCGCGGCGCTAAGGCGAGAACCACATTTTGAAACCGACCCGCCCTCCATCTGTGAAACTGTTGCTAATTGTTATGCTTCGGGATCATAAGTGGTGAGGAAGTCTCAGGCGAAACGGCTGGCCCGCCCTGAAAACTGACATCGGGGTGCGACAAGGAGAAATCAAGTATGAGGAAAAGAAACGGAGGAGGGAGAGGAGGAGGAGGAGGAGGCGGAGGAGGAGGAGGAGGAGGCGGAGGAGGAGGAGGAGGAGGAGGAGGAGGAGGAGGAGGAAGGGGCCCAGGGACATACATTCAAATACATACAAAAATCCCATGATTCCCAATATGCTCCCATGCTTTCTTGATTTTCGTCTTGCCCCCTCACCACTTCCCATATTTCTCTATCTTTCCTTGGAAATCGATTCTTAAAATGGAGACCAATCCACAAGAAACCTTCCACAAGAACCGCAATCCCGAGACCCCAGGACGTCCATCGATCTTTGGCGGGGGAGCGTCACGCTGCCCGTCGCAGAACCATCGAAACCCAAGGAACCCAGGCCACCCTGGAGGCAAGCAGGGCGTTTCTCTCATGGGTCCTCACGGTATGTTCTCATCTCTTCTTGATGATCGTCTTCCTCCCCACTTCCGATACTTTTCCCCTGTTGACATCGAATAGTGTCTGTGTACTTTTTCTCCCCTCCTGATGGTGGTGCGTCCCCAGCTGCGTCCCCGAAGACCTCGCCGCACCGTCCGCCACCACAGGGTTCTGGGACCTCGGAGGCCCCGACCGCCAGAGACGTCCCCGGAGAAACAGGCCCAAATCCCTACGCCGTGCTCGGGTGCTTCCGCAAGTGCCCCTGGCCAAAGGTGCCCCGCAGCTGTTCGCTTCGTTCTGGAGCCCACTGGGGCCTCCCGGGATCCACTCGAAACATGAAACAATCGAGACGGGAGGTGCTTCGCTGCTTTCGGCCTCGGGGGGCCCTCCCTGGGCCTCGAGCCCGTCAAAAAACGATTAGGGATGAGAAGCCGGTCCCGGGGAATGGGTTCGGAGGAGGAGGAGGAGGAGGAGGAGCAGGGAGGAGGAGGGAGGGAGGGAGGGAGGAGGATGGAGGAGGAGTTGGAGGAGGAGGAGGAGGATGAGGAGAAGTTGGAGGAGTTGGAGGAGGAGGGTAGCTCTGGGGGTCGCGTCATGAAAAAACGTGACGTCGGGGGTCTGGGTCTGGGCCTATCCTGAGGGGTGCTTCCGGAGGCCTCGGGGGCCTCCTTGGAACTCCTGGGAGGCACCCCGGGCCAGGGCACCTCTGGCAGCGCCCGGCACGCGGTCGCCCCGAGTCCCCACTCGCCGGACGCCGTGGTGCCTGCGGGCCCCAGCAAGGAGGAGGAGCAGCAGCAGCAGCGGTCCCTTTGTGGAACGGGTTCTTGAACACCTTCTTCTTCGCGCCGTCTCGCTCCACCTCCTGGCCGCCGCGGGGCGCGGGCCGTCCCGCGGGTGCGGGCCTCGCTTCCTCCCCCCTCCCTCTGCCGCCCCCCCTCCCTCGCTCCCTCACTCCTCGCCTCCCCCATCTCCGCCTTCGCTCCCTCTCTCCCCCCCCCCCGTCCTCACTCCCTCCTTTTTCCCATTTCGCAGCGCGAGCGGGTCCATTCCATACCACTCCCTCCCTTTCCCTCCTCCTTCCGCCCTCTCCCCCCTCTTTCTCCGACCCCCCTCCTCCTTTCCGGCCCTCTCGCCTGTCTCCCTCCTCCTCGTCTCCCGAGCAGAACAGCATACGGCACACACAAACACTCTCGGATGTCAGCGCGCGGATTTCTATTGTCGGCGCTGGATTCCCATCCCCTGGCACGCCGAGCGCGAGGAGGCGAGGGAGGAGGAGGAGGAGGAGGAGGGGGAGGGGGAGGAGGAGGAGGAGGAGGAGGAGGAGGAGGAGGAGGAGGAGAGGGGGAGGGGGAGAGGAGGAGGAGGAGAGGAGAGAGGAGGAGGAGGAGGAGGAGGAGGAGGAGAAGGAGGAGTCTTCGGACCTCCGCCAGGGGGAGGGGGGAGGGGGAGCCAAGGGCGGCGCTTGAAGCGCCGCCATGGGGGTCTGGCGAGAACCCGAGAGATCCGTGCAGACCACCGACGGCCATGCTCGTGGAACTGCTTCTTATCGGACGCCCTCCCTCCCTTCCCCATCTCCCCCCTTCTTCCTTCTGGTGAGGGGCAACGAAAGGGGGGGACTGGCATAGGGGGGGGATGCATTGAGCTGGAATCGGCGATACATCGCCGATAGATCGGCGATTGGCCTCCGACAGTGAATCCGCACCTTCCTGGGCAGGTTGGGGCTATCGGGCCCCTATCGGCGATCCGTGGGCGATTGGGGGTCGATGCATCCCCCCCCTATGCCTATCCCCCCCCTATCGTTGCCCCTGAGCTGGGCCCCGTGCTGCCATCGGGGCGTTCCTGGTTCGATCGCTCGGGGCAGGGGTTTCCTCGAACGTCTGGCACCGGCGAGGACCGCAGTGCCCTCGCGCGCTACGCGGCAGCCTCCCTTCGGCGACGGCGGTGGGCTGGCCCTTTGCGCAGCTCGACCGACAGGCCGCCCCACCCCTCTTCGGTGGCAACTCATGGGCGCTTCCCGTGCCATCTTGTTGGCCCCCTTGCGAATCGACGCCAACCGACGCTAAACCGAGGCTAGATCGACGCTAAATCGACGCTATGTCAAGGCTGCATCGGCGCTTCCACGTCGATTAGCACACTCTGGTGCGCGCGAGCGCACTCTAAAAACGGAGTCACGAAGACATACAGTGAAACAGACAACGAACGACACCACCCCACCTCTGGCCCATGGGGCATAGCGTATAAATGGACATTTGGCGTGGGTTCTTGCGTGGTATGCGCTAAGGCACCCGATGGGCTGTAGCGCAACATGGAGGGCCGTAGGCGGGGTGGTGTCGTTTGCGTTTTGGTCGATGCAAGGCTTTCCTGATTTGCTACCGAACACATCCTTCTTCCATGCACAGAACTCCTCCTCGTCGCAGGCGTGTCGGCAGGAACGGGCTGGGCCTGGCCACCTCGAGCCCGGCCCCTCGAGCACCAGCTTCGTCCCCCTTTCGCCCCTCGCTCGGTCCTCGATCCTCCCCCCTCTTGACGACCTTCGAGCCCCTCCCCGTCCCTCGACCCCCTCGATCCTCCTTCCTTCCCTCGAGCCTTGACCCCTCCCTCGCCCTCCCATCGGCCCCTGAACCTCGATCCTGCCCCGACGCCGCCCCCCTCGGCCGCCTCCCAGAAGTGGCCGTAGCGGTACGAGTTGAGCATCTCGTTGGTGGTCAGGTTGACCTTCGAAGGGAGGAAACAGGGACGAACAACATGATGGAATAGTGCGCCACGTATCACGCACCCGTAAAGCTGGATCTCAACGGCCTCAGAAAGAAAACCTCCGTATGTGCCGCTCCCGCAAGCTCTGCGTCGAACACAGGCAACACCCAAATGAAGTCCCGGCTGGCCTCAACAGGCCCCTACTACAGGGCCCTCTTCCTCCTCACCTCCTTCCTCTTTCTCCAACCCCCACCCTCCTCTTCCTCCACCCCGTCTCCCTCGCCTTTCCTCCTGCTTCTCTTCCTCCTCTTCCTCCTCCTCCTCCTCCTCCTCCTCTCACTCGCCCTTCCTTCTCCTCCCCGTCTCCCCTCCCCCTTCCCAGGAGGAGGAAGGATGGGTGAGGGGACTACGACGACGACGACGCCGACGAAGGCGACCTCCGGATACCTCTGGAGGTGAAGAAAGAACCAACAAGCCAGGTCAGTTGCATTTCACAAGACGGTGCCCAAGCAAGATAATGCGCTACAGTGCGAGGATCAATGGTGCCATGTACGGACAGCTGACTCCGATGCCAGCGCTGCACCAAACTTAGGAAACCAGACGGGCACGGGTGCCAACATTGTTGAAACAGCCGTTCGCTACCATTACTCGCCACGCCTGCCAGGGACGTCCTCGTCTGCCAGGGAGCTTGAGAGCTAGACTGCCTGACACAAATACCGACAGCCTCTCTGGGTCATTGTCTGCGCGCCTGGCGAGCTGCCCAACTACTCAGAGCGTAAACCTCGAGCAGCGTGCCTGGAAACCGTCAATCGTCACTTCTTCCACGTCCCGCATGATTGCAATAAGCTGCAAGCATGCAGTAGACAAGTTCGCAAACACAAGGGGCTCGTAAACAACTACCTTTCTCTGTCTGCATACTGCAAAATCCGACCGCGCCATACCGAACGAACATCCGTGATTTAAAGTCACGTCAGATCGACATCGCCTGCCCGACGCGAGCTGGGTGCCGAGGTAGGTTAGAACACTACCAATTGCACGAAATCTCCAACGCCATTCTGCAGGTGGGCGGTCGAGCGGAACTGCATCACCCACTCAGGCTCAAGCCGCCGTGCTGCCCGCAAATCTCCACACACGCTACGAGCTCGAAAGAACCAACACACGGTCAAAACAAAGAAATTCGCCAACCAATATTTTGGTGTTTCCGCCTTTTCAAGCTTCAGACCGCCCAGGACGGCCGAAGAGGCCTCCAAAGTCCCCCAAAATCAACGTAAAAGGCTCCCAAAACAGCTCAAGAGGGCCCCCAAATAGCCCAAACGGCCTCCCCACAAGGCTCAAGAGGCTCCGGTGAGAGCCCCAAGACGGGGAACCCGAACAGACATATCGAGCCTTCCCCGAAAGGTGGCCCCCGAGACCGCCAGCAAGTCCCGAAGAAGCCGTCAAGGCCCCCAGAAGACCAAAGGGATGGCCCACGGGGCCTCCAAGAGTCTCCAGGAGGTCCCAACAATGCCGCCATGAGGCCCCCGAGAGGCCTCCCAAGAGACCCCAAGAAACCTTCCAAAGAGGCGTCTTGTCCGCGACCGAGTTTGGTCCCCACAGTTCCCCAAGAAGCAGTCGAAAGGCTTCGTTCTCCTCCTCCTCCTCCTCCATCCCCTTCTCTTTCGTCTCCTCCTCTTTCTCTTCCTCCTCCCCTATCGAGTCCCCCATTCTCCTTCTCGCCCGCCGTGGGCACACCAGCACATAGCAACAGTGGTGCAGTAGGGGCTGTCGGAATGAGCGAAGCGATCAAATCACCGAGATGCTCTCAAAACGAATATCGACTTGACGCCCTCTAGCGAAACGCCCTCCAACGAAATCTGCCTTGGGCACTCCACGGTTGCGAGCGGCCCAGCATTCCGAAGAGCGCCCGAGCGGAATAGTTAACCGACGCCCAAACAACCACTGAAAGAACCCGACGAAACGCACATCGACCAACGAAGCCGACCGGTGTCTGCACCGCAACACACTGCGAATGCCAATGTCACAAAACATGGGACAGACTTCATCGATCGACATGTCTCGGTGCCCGATAGGAGGCGAGGATGGCGACGGCGATGAGGACGAGAGCGTCGTCCGAGGCCTCGGGCAAGGCCCCGGGAGGCGGCGAGTCGCGAGGGGGCCGACCCATATCAGCTTCAGCTGGTTAAGAGCCAACAGCGTCACCTGGCGCCGGAACAAGTTCGCCTCTTCCTCCTGCTCTTCCTCCTCCTCCACCTCCCTCCTCGTGTCCTTCTCCTCCTCATCATGGTCCTCCTCCTCCTCCTCCTCCTGCTCCTCCTCCCTCCTCCTCCTCCTCCTCCTCCTCCTCCTCCTCCTTCTCCTCCCCTCTCCCCCCCTCCCTTTCCTCCTCCTCCCCCTTCTCCTCCTCCTCCTCCTCATCCGCTCCCCTCCGATGACATCCTCCTCTTCCTCCTCTTCTTCCTCTTCCCTCCTTCCCCATCCTCCCTCTCCCCCTTCTCCCCCTCTTCCTCCGCTCCTCCTCCTCCTCCTCCTATTCCTCGGCCCACTTCTTCTTCCACTTCTCCTGCATACATCCTCGTCCTCCCTGCGTCCCGCATCCTGCGTCCCCTCCCTTCTCGCCACCCCCTGTCGCCTCGTCCCACCGCCTCCATGGAGGTCCCCTTCGGGCCGCCCCAACCGACCCCTCCTCATCCTCAAGCCTCCAACTTGCCGGGCCTCCTCCTCCTCCTCCTCCGCCTCCTCCACGCATGGCTCCCCCTTGGCCTGTCCTCTCCCGCGCATCCCCCTCCACGGCCTCCCCCTTCCCTCTCCTGATGAACCCAAAAAGGACCCCGAACCCCTTGGAGGATGAGGAGGAGGAGGAGGAGGAGGAGGAGGAGGCGGAGCCGGAGGCGGAGGAGGACGAAGAGGGGGGAAGGGGGGGGAAGGAGGGGGATGAGGATGAGGATGAGGATGATGATGATGATGAGGAGGAGGAGGAGGAGTTAGGAGGGCCAGGAACACTAGGGACAGGGGACCTCTTCTGCAGACGTCTCAGACCAGGCTGCCCAGAGTCGTGATCCCCAATGCGAGGACGGGGACCCCCGTGAGGCCACTCGGCCCGCCTCGCTGGGAGAGCAGCAGGCGCGAGCGCGTGCCATTGGCGCGGTCATGACGTGCAGGCACGAGATGAGCACTAGGAGCGGGTACCTGCGGGGCAGGCATAACTTGCAAACCTCATGGCTCTTGCTTCCTCCTCCTCCTCCTCCTCCTCCCTCGCACTTCCTCCCTCTCTCCTCCTCCTCCTCCTCCTCCTCCTCCTCCTCCTCCTTCTCCTCCCCCTCGCCCAGAACGTGGCTTATTCGGCTTTCCCCCCTGCAAGTCAGACTCATTGTCATAACGCGCGGTGTCAGCACAAAGAGCACGGGCGAAACATGTGTACGGCACGGCGTAAACTCGTTTCAGCCATACGGAGTCACATAGGCTTGCTTGCCTCGTTGAGACGGACGAGGGGGGGACAGAGGGATGGAGGATGCGCAAGGACCTAGAACCACGCGCGCTTAGGTTCTCGCGCAGTCCACGGCGCTGTGATGAGAGGCAGGCGAAGCAATCCTGGGCCTCTGCCCTCCCGCCTCCTCCTGGCCCGGGTCGTTCTGAACGGCCGCCTGAGCTTCGATCTGCGCCCCGAGTACCAACCGGAGTGAGGAAGGGAGGCGGGAGGGATGGGGGAGGGAGGGAAGAGGGTGGAGGGATCGAGGATCCACTGGGATCCACGCTTTGTTTTGTACGACATTCCGTGGGGGCTCTTGGGAAGCCTGCGGGACCCTATTGGAAGCCGTTGGGGGGTCTCTGGAAGCCTCTGGGAATGTCTGAAGGCGTATCGATGTGGGAGCGTCGTGGGGTCCTACTTGAGGTTGACTGATGGTACCAATCTCTGGGGGGCCCCTCCGGGGGCCCTCTTGGTGCGTCTTGGGCCCTTTCTGGGGGCCTCTTGGGCCGTCTCGAGGCCCTCCGCGGATGCGACGGCGAAGGTGCTTCGCATGAGAACACCACCAGTCTACTAGTGCAACTCGTCTTGCGTCAGCGTCCGTCCCACTCAGATGCGAGTCCGCCAACAGTGGTGGCCAGGCAAGGCAGAACGGCGCCGATGTTCGTTGCAGGGCCGCCCGGCGGGGACTCCCCTTAATGAAAACGGCCTGGGACAGAAACCGACGGACCTGGACCCGCAAAAATAACGGCTCTGACGCCCTTTCGCGAACCGAGAACGGCCAATTCCTTAATCGACGTGTCAAGGTAGGAGGTCGATCAACCTCCGGGTAATACACGATGGCTTCTGAATCCAGAATTCGAACCGTTTACTCCATTGAATCAACCCTTCCCGTCAGCAGCCTTCAGATATTGTTCTAAACCCGCCCGAATCTCAATTTTGGGGAAGACATGTTTCTACAAATACAGTCGAGGCGTTGACCTGAGGAACCCTAAATAAGGAACGAGGCCCCTTTTTCCCATAAATCAAACTTCGATTCCCCGTGGAAGACCTCAGGAAAACCTGAGGCTAACTGTAAAACGGTCCAGGAACACCGAGCCCCTCCCCAACGAAAAGGGCTCCTTCTTCAGCGCCCCGACTGTAACACCCCCCCGCCCTCCAGGCGCCCAACGTCCAGAACGGCACAGGTGCGAAACGAGACGAAAGAACGAGACGATGCGGTCGAGCAGAGACGAACAGCGAAACGAATCACACACGAGCAACGAAACGAAATATATAACATATGCTCAAAACAAGCTGAACAACGCTGTGGCCGGTCCTTCGTAAGCATCCGCCGCCGTGCCTCTGAGCGCGGAATGGGCGTGCCCTCGAGTCCTCCTGCCCAATCCTTGCCAGTCCCCAGTCCCGGGGAGTCAATGATCGGCGGTGGACAAACCTCCCTTTAGCAAACCTCCCGTTAATGAAACCGGCCTGGGACCGAAACCGACGGACCTGGACCCGCAAAAATAACGGCCGCGACGCCCCCCCCCGCGAACCGAAAACGGCCAATTTACGAATCGACGTGTCAGGGTGGGAGGTCTGCCCACCCCCGATCCCTGGCGCCAGCCCCCAGTCCCGGGGAGTCTTTGCGGGGCTCGGGCCCCAGACTCCGGCGGAGTCTCTCTGGGGTCCTGGCGCGTGCCCCCTGGGGCGACCCGCGGCTCGTCGCACGCCTCCCTCGGGCCCCAGACGGCCCCGAAACGGGCCAGGAGGCCCCGAAGACAGGCCGAGAGGGCTCCGAGTCGCCACGATCGCTCGAGGACGCTCAAGATGGCCCCGAGACTGCCCAAGAGGTGGACGCCTCCCAAGAGGCAAACATTAATCATTGTCCATCGGTTTTTGATGGTTGTTGGATCTATCGACTTTTCGGCTTCCCGACGCTCCGAAAAAACCCGAAAAAAGGCCCCCAACATCGCCCCGATACGGCCCAAGCGACCTCCAAGAGGGCCCCAAAACGGCCCAACAGGGCCCCAACACGGCCCATGAGGCGCACAAGACGGCCCCCTTGGGGCCCAGGACGGCCCCAAAACGGCCCAAGAGGCCTCCAAGACGCCCTAGGTGGCCTCCAAGACGGCCCTGGAACACACCAGAAGGGCCCCAAGCCAGCCCAGAGAGGCACCCGAGACGGCTTCCGACGGCGTCAGACGGGCCAGGAGGCCAGACAAAAACGACATAAACATGTACGCGTGGCGCTCCGCGCGGATTTTTTGGATCTGCGCTGGATTCCCCCTCCCGGGCGCGCGGAGCGCGCCAGGGGCGCCGCCAGGGGGCCCCAGCGCGGATCCAAGAGATCCGCGCGGAGCGCCAAACATTTATGTTCATGGCGTTTTTTTCTTCGATTCTCGCTCGTCTGATGATGCTCCAACCCACATTAGCCTTGACCACCATGACGAATTTCGAGCACCACGAACGAGCGGAATTTGAGGGTTTTCACGAGTCGGAGCCTGGGAGGCGATACTCGTTCCACAATGTGTCGACACTCTTCGGGGCGCTCGAAATCATCTCTGGGATGTGGTCTCTAAGTGCGACTAGGTCGGGCATGTCTCCCTACAGGCAGTTTTTCGAGGAACGCTTAGCAATACATGCAACATATTTGAAAATAGCACGAAATGGTCCAAAAAGTCGCCCCCAGACCATGTTGTACTATTCTTGAATATTCTTCCCGTGGAAGGACAGGCTCGACTTACCCCTGAGTTCGATGGGGGCAACGCAATCCTCGTCGTCGAATTTACGGCAGAAGCTGGGCGCGGCCGGGCCGGCGCCTTCTGCGACGAGAACCCCGGCTCGGAACCCACGCAGACTTCCGAGAAGTGTTCTAGACCTTCCTCGAAGACAGAACAACCTGTTCGGAAGGCGCGAGGGCATCCGAGAAGTCCCGCCGCCTCCTGAGAAGGCTTTCTCCTTCTCGCCCCCCCCCCCTCGCTCGCCGCTCATAAGTACCCATCGGTCGGAAGAAATAAGCATAAACATGAAGTCGGAATGCGATGGAAGTAGGTTGGGTCTCCGCCTGCCCCTTGAAGAGGAGGGAAGAAAGGAAACCACTCGATCATTGAAGTAGGAAGGCGCTCAAAGTGGGTTGGAACCAGGGATTCAAACAATACCTACTTTCGACGACCGATGGCTACGAGGGGGGCAACAGCGTCCTTGTCGTCGAACTTGCGGCAGAAGCTGGGCGCCTGAAAATTCTGAACTCTATTCTAAGATGACGGTGTTAAAGAATGCACATACATATCGCTATCTCAAATATAACTATGGACCATCTGACGCAATGAAATGTCCGGTGATGTGAACTGAACTGGTTCGCCATATCTCGACTGGACGGCGTTCTTTTACCTCTCTGGCGGCCAGGCCAGCGCCCTCTGTGACGAGGCCCCCCTCCGTGCCGCCCCGCCCTCGAGGCCATCCCCCCCTCCGGCCGCCTGCCCGCGCCTCTCGGAACGAGCGCGGAGGCGGTCGCCCACAGAGGAGGAGTGGGAGGAGGGGGAGAAGGGGGAGGAGGAGGGGGAGGAGGAGGAGGAGGAGGAGGAGGAGGAGGAGGAGGAGGAGGGAGGGGAGGAGGGGGGGGAGGAGGGGGGAGGGGGGAGGAGGAGGAGTTTTTTTGTTTGCCGCAGCGCAGTATGCAGCCCGCACGTTACCTCAGGAGAAGGAGAAGGAGGAGGAGGAGGAAGACGAGGAGGAGGAGGAGGAGGAGGAGGAGGAGGAGGAGGAGGAGGAGGAGGGGGAGGAGGAGGAGGAGGAGGAGGAGGAGGAGGAGGAGGAGGAGGAGGAGGGTTGTGAGGGCCCACCTGCCTCACGCTGCAGGAGGAGAGGGAGCAGCGAGGGCGAATGTCATGCAGCCAACCCGTGCAGTGAAAAGTGAAGGGGCCCTGGGACATGCACAAATACAAATCCACAGAAATCCAGGGATTCCCAATATTTTGAATATTCCCTACCTAGGCTCTGCCTAGAAGGGTTCCTACTCTCTTAGCTTAACGGGGCCGGGCAGTGTAACACGCCCCGGGCGGTTCCCCCAGTCCCCTGGGAGCGGTTCCCCCCAGTCCCCTGGAAGCTTTAGCTTTAGCTTTAGCTTAGCTGTAGCTTAGCTTTAGCTTAGCGTTTCGCTTAGCGTTTCGCTTAGCTTTTCGCTTAGCTTTAGCTTAGCTTTAGCTTAGCTGCAGCTTAGCTTTAGCTTAGCTTTAGCTTAGCTTTAGCTTAGCTGTAGCTTAGCTTTAGCTTAGCTTTAGCTTAGATTTAGCTTAGCTTTAGCTTAGCTTTAGTTTAGTTTTAGCTTAGCTGTAACTTAGCTGTTGCTCAGCTTTAGCTCAGCTTTAGCTTAGCTGTGGCTTAGCTTTAGCTTAGCTTTAGCTTAGATTTAACTTAGCTTTAGCTCAGCGTTACTGTTACTACTAATGCTGCTTTCCTAGGGGTTCCAACTCCTAGGTAGGGTAGCACTGGGATAATTTGTTTAGCTTTTCGTCTTCCCCCCCACTTCCCAAAGTTTTGCACATTCTCTGGGGAACCGACGAATCATTGTCTGTGTTTTTTCCCTCCTGAAGGATGTGCGATGAGGATCTTGAAGGGGGGGTAGAAAACCGCTCGTCTGGAAGGCTGTGACCACCCTCGTTCTTTCTGACATCCGGGGTACGTGAACAGAAATAAGGGAGCCCAGAATCGAATCGATAAGTCGGATCGGCGATTGAAATGAATCGGATCGGCGGAAATGGGCAGCCAAGCCGGGAAAAGTCGATAAGTCGGACATCGGCAGGCTAGTATACCTCCAATAATACATCGGAGCCCAAATCGCGGCACCGGAAGCGCCGCCAGGCGGCCCTGGAACCGACCCACAAAATCTGCGCGCCGCCGCCGCCGCCGACGACGAAGACGACGACGACGACGTACTCCTCCTGCTCCTCCTGCTCCTCCTCCTCCTCCTCCTCTTCCTCCTCCTCCTCCCCCTCCTCTAAACTGTCGTTCGGGTGTTGCTAGGCGTGGTCCTGGCCCAAGGTGCCCCCAGCTTGACGCGCCAATTTTGGAACCTTCCCGGGCCGTCCTGGGCCTCTTGGAAATGGAGCTCTTGACACCACCTGCGCCTCCCTGGACAAGCTTGGGTCACCTTCGGCGTCCGGTAACGCCCAGATTATGCTTCCCGCCCAGGCGCCCAATCGCGGTGTCGCTGTTGGTTGGACATGCGTTTTTTTGTTGTCTCGGATGGACAGCGTCCGCGGCGACGCCGTGAGCGAGTCCAGTTCAAAATGAATAGGAATTGCAGTTGGTCTTGTCTTCGACCCCCTTCTCTCCCTACAGTCAGCGTGCTACCACCACTGGGGACGCCGAACAATGAACGAAGGGGCCTTCCTGGCCACGGCGAGCCTCGGCCACGAAGAAGAGCGGTCTGAGGAGCGGCCTCAAGACCAGAGCCCCTCCTGAACCCGAAATGCTCTGCTTCTTCATGTACGGCACTTCTGATCTAGGCTACGGTGCTTCTCGCGCTGCTCGTCTGCACTATGTGTGCGCTACGGTGTCCTGCGTTTGGCGTTTTGCTGGTTCGCCGGCCACGACGCCATGTCTGCACGCCCCGTAGTGGCTTGGCCACACAAGCGCCGAAACATGACCGTTATTGCAGTGGCGTGTCCTGAAGAGGAAACAATCACATTAACCCCATGCCCCCGATAATAAACCCTAAGGGATAATAAAGTTCGGGATAATAATAAAAGTTGCCCGCCAGAGCCAGCATAAAGAGATATCAAGAGGAAAAAAATCAAAGATATCTTGAGGATCCTTGGTCTTTGGTCCTCTATGAGACATCCTCAACAATGATTTGTCTCGGTTGAGACATCCTCAACGAATTGCTTGTTTCGCTTGAGACATCCTCCTCATCTAAAAGAGAAGAAGAGGAAGAGGAGGTAGAGGAGGAAGAGGAGGAAGAGGATGAGAAGGAGGAGAAAGAGCAAGAGGAGGAGAGAAGAACGAGGAAGCAAACATCCAAAGTTCAAAACTTAGTATATGTAATTTGTAAACGCATAATGAAAATTACAATTTTCATCTGCTCGTGTAGGGGTAGCTCATGCGCTTAGTTTTCCCAGGATAATCAACCCCAGCGATAAACAAGTTCAAGGGGCCAGGGAGACAAGAAGACAAAGAAATAGAAAGAGGAATATAAAGAAAGAAGAAAGGGAAGAGGAGAAGGATGCGAAGGAGGAAGAGCAGGAGAAGCAGAGCAGGAGGTAGAAGCACAATTCCAAAGTTGAAAACTAATTAGATTTAATTTGTAAGGGCTTAATGAAAATGAGCATTTTCATCTGCTCGTGTAGGGTAGCTCGTGTGTAGTTTTCCCCGGATAATCAACCCCAGCGATAAACAAGTTCAGAGCGCCAGGGGAGGAGGAGAAAGAAAGACAGAGAGAGAGAGAGAGACACAGAGAGAGAGAGAGAGAGACAGAAAGCAACACAAAGAAAAAGAGAGAACGAGCACACGTGTTCGCTTCGCTTGATGTTGTTATCCCAACACAAGAAGGAAGTAACCTCGATGGCGAACTTTCCCAGTGATAATGAAGTTCGGCCTCCGCGCCCCCGCGCCCCCGACCAAACTCTTATTGGTCGACGATAAAAAACTCTAACGACTTAAGGGGGGGGGGGGTACATTATTATCGTGGGCATGGGGTTACGCTGTGGTTCGTCGTCTGTGTCCAAAAAGAAAATGGCACGTGTGGCCTTGCGCCCATATCGGCACACGATATCTACACACATGTGCGCAGTATATGGCACGTGTGTATACTCTGCGTATATGCACACATATTTGCCCTTGCGGTTACGTTGCGTATATGCACACGAAATGCTTCTGAAGGTGTTCGTCTTCTTCGGCGCCTCGGCCCCTCAGTGGGCGCCCAATCGCCCCCGAGAAGGGCCCGCCCCCCGGGCGCTGCGTGGGGGCCATGACCGGGGGTGGTGGCAAGTCGGGGGAAGAAGTGAGACGCAAAAGGCCTTCTCAGAAGGCGGCGGGATTTCTCAGAAGCCCTCGCGCCTTCCGAGAGGTTCCTGAGTCTTCGAGGAAGGCTCAAGAAACTTCTACGAAGGCTCGGGGACTTCCGAGCCTCCCGAGAAGACCTTCTCCTTCTCACCTCCGCCCCTCGCTCGCCGCCGAAAGATAGGTGTCGTGCATGCCTATGTGGAAACAAAGCTACACAATAACAAGATGTGTCACGATGCCATGTTTCTGTGCGCGGCGTGCCACAAACTCAAGGGCCCTAAACCGCGATGGAAACAACGGGCATGCCAGCATGGAGGCAACAACAGGGGAGGAGAGGAGCACAAGACCAAGAAGAAGAAGAAGAACTTCACGAGGATTGCAATGCCACTCCACAGCCTGGGCCACGAACCGCGAAGAGTTTTCCGACGCCCGGGCGCCCCTTCCCCCCCTGGGCGCCCAGTCGCCACCGAGAGGGCCCACGTGCTGGAGCCGTCGGTCGAGGCCTCGACCTTGCGGGCTGCCGCGGCCGCCGCGGGCCCCCTCGTTCGCCGCTGCCGTGGGCTCCCCTGCGCGTGCCCAGGCGTCGCGTCGTCGTTGTCGTGGCCGTGGTCGTCGTCGTTGTCGTCGTCGGCATCACTATCACCACCACCACCACCATGATCATGACCACCACGATCATTGACCATCGCGACCACCACGACCAACACGAACATCACGCGATTACTTATACTTTTCATGATGATCGTCATCATCGTCGTCATCAGCATCGGAATCGTCATCATCATCCCCATCAGCATCACCAGGACCATCATTAGCACGACCACCACCACAACCACTACCACAACCACCAACATTATCATCAGCATCATCTGCATCATCAGCATCGTCATCGTCGTCGTCATCGTCGTTATCATCATCATCGTCATCGTCAGCATCAGCATCAGCATCGGCATCATCATCGTTATCATCATCGTTATCATCATCACCATCATCATCAGCGCTAGCATCAGCTTCAGCATCATCAGCATCATTATCAGTATTGTCACACCATCACCATCACCATCGCCATCACCAACACCATTGCCAATCTCATCAACATCAGCATCATCAGCATAAGCCATCACCGTCATCACAATCATCATCACCATTACCATCACCATCCTCATCCTCATCCCCGTCCCAATCCCAATCCTGATCCTTGTCCTCATTCTTTCCGCCCTACTCCTCATCATCACCATCACGATCGTCATCGCTGTCCCCCCTCGTCGTCATCCTTGCCGTCGTCCTCGTCGTCGTCGCCACCGTAGCCGACGCCGTTGCGCCGTGCTCGGCTTCGTCCTCGACCTCGTGCCCGTGCTCGTCTTCATCCTCGTCATCGGCCGCGTCTTCGCCGTTACCACCGTCGCCCTCGCTATCGTCCTTGTTCTCGTGACTTTGCTGGGCGCCGCCGCACCTTCGCAAATCCGCCTCGGGCTCTGGAGCTCTCGGTCCAGCCCCCTGGGGCCTGGCGATGGTCGCGAGCCGCATTGTGACGGCCTCGGGCAAGACGACAGCGAAAGGCAAATCTGGGAGGGGCGCGGGGAGGGAAAGGACAAGGAGGAAGAGGGGGAGAGACAGAGGAGGCGAGGAGGAGGAGGAGGAAGAGGATGATGATGATGAGGATGAGGAGGAAGAGGAGGGGGAGGAGGAGGAGGAGGAGGGGGAGGAGGAGGAGGAGGAGGAGGGGGAGGGAGGAGGGGGAGGAGGAGGAGGAGGAGGAGGAGGAGGAGGGGGGGAGGGGAGGGGGAGGGGGAGGAGGAGGAGGAGGAGGAGGAGGAGGAGGAGGAGGAGGAGGAGGAGGAGGAGGAGGGAGGAGGAGGAGGGGGAGGAGGAGGGGGAGGAGAAGTGGGAGGAGGAGGGGGAGGAGCCCCATGGAATCTCTCAAAGCCAGCGGATCTCAAAGCATCGGGTCCCGCAGCCGTGACACGGAGTGCTCCTGCACGCTGCGGGAGCGCTTCGGAACGGCGTTTGGGGGGGTGGCGGGGCAGCCCGCGCAAGTCCGAAGCCCGTCCGGCTCGGGGCCCGACGGTGCTCGCTGGACGCCGAGCCTGCGAAAACGTGTCCGTCGGAGGAGGAGGGGGAGGGGAGGAGGAGGAGGAGGAGGAGGAGGAGGAGGAGGAGGAAGAGGGAGGAGGAGGAGGAGGAGGAGGACAGGAGAAGAAGGAGGAGGAGAAGGAGGAGGGGGCGTGTTTTCCTGCTCGTGCGAACTCTTTCGCCTCTGAATGGCCCTGTCTTCTCCTCCCCCCCGCGGTCGCCTTGCACGCTGGCCACTTTCGCTTGTCGGTGCCCCCGTCTACATGGCTCTCTCGCTGGTGCGGCCAGCTCCGCATCGCCGCCGACGGAACAAGGGTTTTTCCTGCTAGCGCCGCCCACGATGTGCAATCGGCCCGTAACACAAGGGCCTGCATGCGCGGATAGGGATGCAAGGGCCTTGGGCGCCCCTCCCGAAGCTTTTCGAGCGGGGCGCGGCCAACGAAAATGGCCAAGGATGGACCGAGGAGCAAAGGATGCAAGGGTGCCCTTGGGAAGGTTGCCCAGCCATACTATTCGGGTTGACCGTATGGGCCTTCCGCGCCCCAATAGTGACCAGGGCTGAACCTAAACGGCGTTTTGCGTTCTCGTTGTGTTGTTCGTTCCTCCTCGTTTTGCCTTCGCTTCGCCTTGAATGCAACAACGAAAAACAAAACGGCCCACGAGATGGCCAAAACACCCTTTAGGTCCGGCCCTGGTAGTGACACGTGGGCGCGTCCTGGGGCAACTTGGCCAACACCTCGGGGCGGGGGCCCTGCAGGGAGACCAGGGACACAGAAGTGTCAGAAGCATCCTTCCCTGCCCATCCCTCCCCCTCCTGTTCCGCCCTCTTCCTCCTCCTCCTCCTCCTCATCGTTCCTCGCTCCTCGCTCCTCTCGCCTCGCTACTCCTCCTCCTCTTCCATCCCCCCTCCGTCGTCTTCTTTCTCCTCCTCGTCGTCCCCGTTCTTCCTCGCAACTCCCAGCTGGTGTCCAAGGCCGAGCACGCATTTGCCGTGGGAAACATCAGCGGGGCGCCGACCAACGCACCAGCGGCTATCCAGCACAAGTAGAGGTGGCAAAACCTTGCGCGCGCGCTCGCTGAAGAGTGGCGGGTGGGGGAGAGGGGGGGGGCGCTGTGGAAAGAGAAACTATAAGGGCAGAACGTCTAGCCTGGCGAAAGACACAACCACATGCAACTAACTGCGAGTACTGCGAGAAAGAGCGACAACCAAAAGAGAAGGGCTGGCAAAAATCCCGCCGGCCCCCTGGGGCCATCGGGCTCCGCGGATGAGGCTTGCTGCTCCCCGGTCCAGTTCCTCTCCGATAGCACAATTCTGCGTTCTGCTTCCTACTGCGAATTGTTCAAGTCCGCTCGAGGGGAGGGGGGCCGAAAAGGTCCCTGATAACCTTCACCTGGGGAGTTTTCAGACTTTGTTTGGGGTCCTGGGATCTGTAAAAATACACGAGATTCGTGCCCCCGAAGCTGGTCCCTCGTAAATGATGCTGTATTCGCGCCCCCGAGGCCATACTCCATAGTGGATTAGACCATGTTCTCGTCCCCGAAGCCGTAAACCCTTGCAAATTACGGTGCGTTCGCGCTCCCGAGGCCATAATTCCGGGTACTTAGATAGCGCAATATTCGCGTCTCCGAGGCAACACTCTAGTGTGAATTACGCAATGCGCACCAGGATATCTCAAGTGACCCCCGCTCGGATGCTGACGCTGCTTCACGACGGCGCCCAGGCCTCACACCATAGCTCTTGCATGCCCAATTCTCCGAGAGAGGGGGCCGGCGGCAGGGGGCGAAGCCCTTACGGATACCAGAAAGTGTATGGAAAGGACGGAGCGGCCATGCTGCAAGAGTGCACGTGCACATGCATGCATGTTTTGCGCTTCCGTAGCCGCCGAGGCTCGAATCTAGAAGTCACTCTTTGACTTGCACTAGAGCAGGGCATGAAACAGTTGCGCATCCACAACTTGAGAGTTCTTTGGTTTCAACGTGGTCGGCCGTAAATGCTTCCATCTGGATGTAGTACGTCGCGGCTGAGCTGCGCGTCGCGAAAGCCCCGTGGCCATCGCTCGGACGTCCATTCCCTGTGCTTGTTTCGGTTCCGTGCGTCTTTTTTTCTTTTCGCGGGATGATCCAGGATGCTCCTCAGTAATCCCCGCCGAGACAAAGTGCACACGTCCGAGAGATACCAAGCACCGAATGTGTCAACCTTGCCCCTGGACAGGGCCCGAAGCCTCTCGGCTTCCGCGATCGGGTGGGCCGCCGCCCCGTGCAAGCCCCCGAGACCCGACGACCAGGAGTGCAGTCTCCTCCTCGGGCGAGGGCGCTCTGTCTGTCTGGCGCGTAGGAACCTGGTCCTGCCCTTAGTTGGAGGCCTGGAAATGGGCACCAACACCAACACAGGGGGTTGCCTCCACAGGGGGAAGACGATCCTAGATTTCGGTGTTGGTGGTAATATGTCGGTCACCTTGGAAGCCAGAATATTACCACCATCACCGAGATCGGGATCCTCTTCCCACGGTGGAGGAACACCGCCGATATTGGTGTTGGTGTCAACCTCTAGGCCTGCGACTTAGTGCAGTCGGACTCGATTGGACAGGACACGCGGGAGGGCACAAGACCCTTCCGAGGGCCTCGTTGCCATAGGAATGCAGGAGGCATGCGTCGCGAGACACTGGACACAAAGGTACCCTGGGTTCGGCAGGGTCGACCGACTAATCCAGGCCGACTGTAAAAGGCGCCGGAGACGGCATGGCCGCTTTTTCACCGTCTCCGAAAACATGCTTCTCGAGAATGGAAACGGCAAACCGACGGCGACCGGAGACTGCAACAAAAACGGCTCCAGGATTGGAACCGGAGCCGGAGCCCGTAAAAGAACGGCGTCGGAACTGGCAAACAAATGGCAAAGCGGAACCCAAAGCGGAATCGGTGACAAAAACGGTCCTGCCGTTTCCAAGGTCCACTGAGGTTCTGCCACATGGCCTCTGTGTCCTCCCGGCTGACCGTGGCGGGCTTCCCCTCTGGGTCAACAGCCTTCTGCCTCTTGCGCCTGTCGGCATGCGGGGGCTCGGCTTTGCGCTCCTCCACGCCAACTGCGTGGTCGAACACCTCCCTCGAGGTCGCGGTCCACGCGGGCGGGCCCGGGCGCTGGGTGGCGCAGGTGGGAGCGCCGCTCCGCATCGCCGTCGCCCTCTGCTCCTCCAGGCAGCTCCCCCTCCCCTTCCCCCCTGGCTGCAGCGCGATCGCCCTCGCAGGGAGCCTCCGCCTCGGGCGGCGGCTGGCATGCAGCGGGCCGCCGCTGAAGCCGCATCCGCCAGCCGCGGATGGGGCGGAGGATGGGGAGGGGGAGGCGCTCGTGTGCGATCCGTGGGATCGCTCTCTCCTCTTCGCCCAGCTCGCAACGCCTCTGCCCCCTCGCCCCCCGCCAACTGGCGCTACCGCTGGGCCGCTTCCGGGTCCCTGCTTTTCCCAATTCGCAATTGGACCGAATCACGGGCGAGGAGGCGAGAAAAAAGGGAGGCGGAGGACAGGGAAGATAGAACTTATGATAAGGACGGGCCTAGAACGCGCAGGATGATGAGGAAGACGAGCGGGAGGAAGAGGAGCAGAACAGGGAGGACTCGCAGGACAATGGCAAATGAGCAGGGCGAGGGGAAGGATCCGGTGGCAGAGGAGGAGGAGGAGGCGCAGGAGAAAGGGGGGGGGGGGCTAGCTGGAGGTGGGATCTCTTTGAGAAGGGGTGGAGGACGAGAGACGGAGGACTGACGCTACAGGCGGAGGACCGCCTCGGAGCTCGAAAAAAAAAAAAAAAAAAAAAAAAAAAAAAAAAAAAAAAAAAAAAAAAAGAGACGGAGGACCAGGACCTGGACCCGGAAGACACCCTCCCCTCCCCTGCGGTGCTAGAGGCACACTCGGCGCGCGGATCCAGGAGCGCGTGCGCGTGCGTGCTCCTCCTTTTCTCCTCCTCCTTTTCTCCTCCTCCTCCTCCTCCTCCTCCTCCTCCTCCTCCTCCTCCTCCTCCTCCTCCTCCTCCTCCTCCTCCTCCTCCTCCTCCTCCTCCTCCTCCTCCTCCACGCCGCCCCCTTCGTCGCCCAACGTTGGCCCGTGGACTGGCGTTGCGAGAAAGCTCTCCCGAACCGATAGTACGGATATACAGTATGATCCCTCAGTGCAGAAAATGCTGGGATAACAAGGGCGGTCCTCCAAAAGGCCGTTGAACATTGGAATACGCGTGTGGGCGGCGTTAAATCGAGAATCCCATTTTGAGGACCCCTTTGTCCGCTGCATTGGTCGAAGTTGGGAGCTTCAAGGTCACGAGTGGCGAGGAAATACTGGGCGAAACTCCAGGTTTATCATATCGGCACGTCTGGTGGTACGACGAGGAAGATTGTCTCCCCAAGGGAGAGTGGTGGTGGTGGTGGAAGGGCGGAGGAGCAGGGAGCGGTTGAGGATAATGAAAAGAAAGATGCGGAAACAGAGAAGGACAATATGACCACGGAGGAGGAGGAGGAGAAAGAGGAGAAAGAGGAGGAGGAGGAGGGGGAGGAGGAGGAGGAGGACAGGCAAGAGAAGTCGGAGGATGAGGGTTGCGGAGGAAGATGGCGGAGCGTGGAGAGTAGACCCAAAGCCGAGGGCGGGAGGGCCGGCGGCGGAACTGCACGGCGGGCTCCAGGCACGAGAGGAAGATGAAGGGGCGGTGGTTGCCCCTGCCTATGGCCTCGCGGGGGTGGGCTCCTCCTCCTCCTCCTCCTCCCTCCTCCTTGCTCATCCTCCTCTTCTCCTCCTGCTCCTCTTGCTCCTCCTCCTCCTCCTCCTCCTCCTCCTCCTCCTCCTCCTCCCCCCTTCTCCCCTACATGTATGTCCTACAAGAACGAGTCCCGCAATGCAAGACTCGCCTACTTACAACTGCGCAAGGACGGCCCCGGGACAAAACGACCTCGGGTCCCGGACCCACGCTCGGAATTCGCAAAAATGCATTCACCACCCCCTGTAAGGCTCAAGGGTTGGATGAAACGGCAAGTTTACAGTGGGGACCGATGCCAAGAAACACCCTGCTTGCCTCCAGGGTGCCTTGGGTTTCTTGGGATTCGATGGTCTTGCTGTTGAAAGGGTGACGTTCCCACGCCACCCTTTCAACAGCAAAACGTGTAGAGGTTGAGAGGGACGTCCTGGGGTCTCAAGGTTGGGTTTCTTGTGGAAGGTTTCTTGTGGTCGGGCCTCCAGGAGGCTCCAGCAGTCGGCAACGACTGGGCGGACAGTGTCGCTGCAGCGGCCTCGATCCCAGGCCCGTCCGCCTAGTTGCTATATGTTTGCCTGAGTGCCCATCCAGCAGTACAGTCGAGTCTGATTGGAGAGGACACGTGAGAGGACACAAGACCCTCCCGAGGGCCACACTGCCATTGGAATGTAGAAAGACTGGGTCGCGAAACACAGGACACGAGGGTGTCCTTGATTTGGCAGGGTCGACCTACCAATCAGACTCGACTGTAAATGTCTCCAGCGTTACATCAGATACGCTGCTGAAGCTTTGCCTTTCTGGGCCGCCCTGGCCACGACGACGGGCAAGCAGGCTTTCGAGAAACCTGCCCAGAGTCTCGACCCCTCTGTGGGGGCGGCGGGTGCGGTCAGTACTTGGGTGGAGCCCGAGCCCCAGCCCGCGGGTCAGCCTCATTTTGTTCGTGCGCGCCGCAACCCACAAGCAGGCACCCCTTACCAGTGGAGTTGGCTGCATGGCCATTGGCTGCGTCTCGCGTGCCGCACGCGCGCGCGCTGACAACACTGAGAGGTCCTGCGGCGCATACTGTAGGAACAATTTAGAAGGCCTCCGGAGTGCTTGGGGGAAGAATTGCCAGAGCAAATTCTCCATCTACGCACGGCGGTTGCTCCGAGCAGGCCGGCATCTCCAGAGTTCGCTGCCGTTCGGAATCGCTCTCGCCGCCAAGGCCACGGCGCCCCCCAGCTGCGCGGCCATCTCAACCGGCGCAGCCCATGTCCCTTTGTTGCAGCGCAGACTCAGAGCTCATCTGCCCCCGCGTGGGCGTGTGCTTCGCTGCTGTGAAGTTTGCAGAACACAGCCCTTCCCATGCCCGCAGTCTAGCCTCTCAAGGTAGGACCACAGGCGGAAAACGAGAGAATAACCGTGGCCAACGAGCTTGAAGGTTTTGGGTTGGGTCGGGTCGACCAAACCTCAGCCTTCCCTTTTCATGGCACGCGATGGTTCGCATCCCCCCAATCGCATCCCTCCTAGTCCTCCCCCCTTCCCTAGAGGCCTCCTAGATGGGGTCCGAGTAGATGGGGTCGGAGGATCGCGCCGCATCGCCGATACATCGGCGATGCATCGTCGACGTGGGCGATGCATCGGCGACGTCGACGTGAAGCAAATCGGGCTCCACATCGAGCCGCGTCGGCGATGTATCGACGATGCGGCGCGATCCTCCGAACCCATCTACTCGGACCCCATCTGGGAGGCCTAGACCCAGTCCTCCCCCCTCCCCCATTCTGCATTCTCCTCCCCCTCCTCCCCGTCCTCCTCGCCCTCCCCCTTCCCCTCCCCCTACTCCTCCCTCCTCGCCCTCCTCCTCCCTCCCGCCCTCCTCCTCCCTCCCGCCCTCCTCCTCCCTCTCGCCCTCCTCCCCGTCCTCCTCGCCCTCCTCCTCCCTCTCGCCCTCCCTCTCCTGCTGCTGCTGGTCCCCCTTGCTGGCAAGAAGAAAAAGTCGCCCGCAGGAGGATGCCCCAAATCAGGAATCGAAGGGGTGAAGCTGGATCAAAAGCCAAGTTGTTCTTCGTGGGCCAGAAGCCGAGCATTACGCGCGGGGGCGACGCGGCAGGTTCGAGCCCAAAGGAGGTCCATCAACTACGTGCTCTGGGGGCCAAAGCGTTGGGAATCGGGTGCCCAAGCCCCGCCACACGCCGCCTCAACGCAAGCACGCAAACTGGATGCGCCGGCCGACTTGCTGCAATCTGCGCTGCTCTACAGCCACGAGAATGTTGTTGCAGTTGTTGTTGTTGTTGTTGTTGCTGTTGTCGTTGTCGTTGTCGTTGTCGTTGTAGTTGTTGTGGTTGTCGTGGTTGTTGTGGTTGTTGTGGTTGTTGTGGTGGTTGTTGTGGTTGTTGTGGTTGTTGTGGTTGTTGTGGTTGTTGTGGTTGTTGTGGTTGTGGTTGTGGTTGTGGTTGTGGTTGTGGTTGTTGTTGTTGCTGCTGCTGCTGTTGCTGTTTTTGTTGTTGCTGTTGCTGTTGCTGTCGTTGTTGTTGTTGTTGTTGTTGTTGTTGTTGTTGTTGTTGTTGTTGTTGTTGTTGTTGTTGTTGTTGTTGAATGCTCACAGCGGACAAATAATGATTGCTGGCCCCCCTCTGGTGTCAATCGTGTTTTTTCTAATTGAAGTGTTTCCACCGGGGCCCGCACCCTGGTTTTTTGAGCACCCTGGAAAATCACTAAACTCTAACTGCGCCCCGGGCCCCAGGATTACAACATCAACGGCTCCCGCCTGAGACGCCCTCACGATTTAGCCAGGACCCCCGCTCCAGCCTACCTAGACTTACCCGCATTTTACTGAGGAGTCGCGCTCTCGCTTGGGACCTCCTTCCAATATATTCAGGACTCGCTCTTTCGACGCTCTGGAATCACGCTCTCGCTGGAAACCTGCTTGTCATTCACGCAAGAATCGCGCACTTGCGTTGGACTTCTCCGCAATTCACCCAAGCGCCGCGCTCCCGACACTCAGGCTCCCAGGAGTCGCGCTCACGCCTGGGACTCTCTCGCACAGCTTACTCCTGAATCGGGATTTCGCTGCCCTTCGTGGCCCTGTTGCAACCTTTTCCCTCGCTGCCCTTCGTGGACCCGTTGCAGCCCTTCATGCCCCCCTCGCTGCCTTTCGTGGGCCCGTCGCAGCCCTTCGCGGCCCCCTCGCAGCCCTTCGTGGCTCCGTTGCAGCCGTTCGTGGCCCCCTCGCTGCCCTTCGTGGCCCCGTTGCAACCCTTCGTGGCCCCCATCGCTGCCCTTCGCGCTCGTTCGCGCCCGTCGTGGCCCCATGTGCATGCCCTTCGTGGCCCCGCTGTCGCCTTTCGTGGCCCCCATCGCTGCCCTACGTGGCCCCGTTGCTACCCTCAGTGGCCCTGTCATTGCTTCTGTGGTCCCGCATTATCTGCCATTCGTGGCCCCCGTTCGTTCGCGCCCTTCGTGGCCCCATGCGCGTGCCCTCCGTGGCCCCGCTGTCGCCCTTCGTTGCCCCCTTTTCCTGCCCTTCGTGACCCCGCTGTCGCTCTCGCCCTCGCTTTCGCTTTCGCTCGTCGCCGTCGCCGTCGCCGTCGTCGTCGTCGTCGCGGTCGGTCCAGTCCGTCCCTCTTGGGGTCGGGTTGCCGCCGATCAGCGCTGCCGCTGGCCAGGTTGACGGTCCGCGGCCACCCCGCCGCTTGCAGGGGCCTGGCCTGCAGGGAAGAAAAATCTATCCCCCCAGAAAGGGTACGATCGAAGACGGAGAGGGCGGGTATCGAGGGTTTGGGAAATACGCGTTCCATGACACTCGAGCAGATACGAGCGAACAGTCTTAAAATGATTGTTGTTGCTGTTGTTGTTGTTGTTGGTGTTGTTGTTGTTGTCGTCGTCGTCGTCGTTGTTGTTGTTGTTGAACACTATTACTTCTAAAGAATTATTATTGTTGGACCCCCTGGTGCACGCCCCCCGCCCAAAACCTAGGCCGCAGCTACATTTTCATCATTTTTCTGCGAAAGCTTCAGAAAAGTGGATTACCCCCGGATCCGGTTTTTTGTTGACGCTCGTTTTCCCTTGCAAAAAACAATAGAAAATGAAAATTCTTGTTCTTAGTTGATCAAATTTCAAGAATCCCTTGCAAAAAATAAGGTAAAGTGGACATTCGCGCTCGCAAGACGAAATCCTTCCAAAACCTTAGGTTTCGTAGCGATTTTAACATAAAAACATCAAAAACCCAATGGTTTTTTAAGAAAAAATTGTCAAAATGTCCTTCCGCGCGCTCTTGCGGATTCATAGGAAACACACCACTTTTTAAACATTTCTGTCAAAAGGGTCTTTGCGTGCTACTTCTTCAGGTGCTTTGAACTTCTCCAACAACGGTTGCGCGCCTGCGAGGGCCACCATCCCTTGCAAAAAATGAGACGAAGTGCACATGCGCGCGGCCGCCGCGCGCGCATGTCGAAATCCTGCCAAACACAATGGGTTTTCAATAATTTCAAGATGCGATGTTCAGAAAACATATGAAAACGCACTACTTTCTCATCAGAAAAATCTCGAAATCCATTCGCGGTCTCTTGATGAATCTTTAAAACCCAAGATGGCCCCAACAGGCGCGCAAGATGGCCCCAAGAGGCCATCATAGCGCCATGAGTTCATGAGCAATGCATGCGTCATCCTTGGGACTGTATAACATCAGTGTAACACATGTACTTCTGTAATCGCATCCCCACGAATTTGCCCCAAAAATGTGACCAACTATCTTGGCACTGCGTACCATCTCACGTGTACCGTGTACCACATCATATGTAACAGATGTGATCAACCTCTGTGGGTGTGTACCCCACGCCAGTGTAGTAGCCAGGGTCGTCCGCACGCCACGAAGTGAAGTGTCCCAACGTCATAGGGCGGGAAGCTGGGTGTGGGTGGTCTCGAAGAGTCGTTTGGATATTTGGTAGAGCTTGAACGGCCCCCCCACGAAGTGGGGGTATTGGCTGGTGTCGCAAGAAAACCCTGGCACTGGGGAGAACACTGAGCGTTCGGGTAAAATGATTGTTATTGTTGTTGTTGTTGTTGTCGCTGCGCGGTCTTCCTCTCTCACGCTCTCCCTCTGTCTCTCTGCGCCGCTCTCTCTCTCTCTCTCTCTCTCCCTCCCCCCTCTCTTTCGCCAGCTACGCCTCTCTAGCCCCTCGCCCTCCCCGCCGCCGCCCTCCCCGCCGCCCGCCACGTTCAGCCAGCCGCAGAAGTGGTCGAACTCCCGGACGCAAGCGTTGGTCCTCACACAGAACTTCGTCCGTGGCCTCTCGGCGCAGCCCGCGCGCGGCGGGGCTTCCCCGCGGCAGTGGGAGCCCCTGCGGCGTGGACTGCAGCGGGCATCGGGGCTTGTCTTTTTGAGGGGGGCGGGAAGACGTAAGGCTCGGGCACGGGGGACCCGGGTTGGCCTGACGGGGGCCATCATAAAAATGACGAGACCCAATCTGAAATTTGACGCGGGCTCCCGCTGCAGACATCCCACGGACACGGGACCGTCAAAATTCAGGACGCGCTCGTCAAAAGAAAGTCGGCAAACCCGAGTTCCGGCTTACCCGAGTCTTACGTTTCCCCGAAGGGGGGCGGGGAGAGAGGGGAGAGAGAGAGAGCGCGAACTTCCGCTGAACATCATGATGCCAAATGCTTCGCCACGCCTGTCGGGTCCGTCCCCTGTCGGGTCCGTGGCGGAACAGTGGAGTTGGGCTGCATGCAGGGCCGAGGGGTTTGTGCAAGGCGCGCCGAAGCGGCTAAACTTTTGGCGCTCCGCGCGGATTTCTCGGAGCGGAGCGCGCCAGGGGCGGCGCAAGAGGCGCTGCCAGGAGGGCCCAGCGCGGATCCAAGAAATCCGCGCGGAGTGCCAAAAGTTTATGTGTATGGCGCTCTTTCACACGAGCTGAGGATCAGTGAGCTCAGCGTTAAGTCGGGCGTGTCCCGCCACAGGGGGATTTTCGACGAAAAAATACTCCAATTACCCCGGCAAGGCAACCTAACAGCGATGTGTATAAGCATATCTGGAAGCATTCCCCTTAATATTCAGGTGATAATCCAGTTGTAGAATTCTGCTGTTCTCGCAGTCGCAGTCGCAATGACAGTCACAGTGGCAACGGCCTTAGGATCCAATGGAATCCTAAGGATTCCTAGGGATTCCTAAGGCATCCTTGGGCATCCTGAGGAATCCATAAGAATCCTTAGGAATCCTGATTCCTAGGGATTCGTGGGGATTCCTAAGGGTTCCTCGGTCCTAAGGAATCCGAAGGATTCCTGGGGATGCTTAACTATGCCTACGGATTCCTAATGATGCCTACGGATTCCCAAGGATTCCTAGGGATTCCTAGGGATCCCTATGGATTCCTACGGATGCCTCAGCCTGCCTCAGCCTCAGCCTCAGCCTCAGCCTGCCTCGGCTTGCCTCAGCCTCAGCCTCAGCCAGCCTCGGCCTCAGCCTCAGCCTGCCTCAGCCTCAGCCTGCCTCGGCCTCAGCCTCAGCCTGCCTCAGCCTCAGCCTCAGCCTCAGCCTCAGCCTCAGCCTCAGCCTCAGCCTGCCTCGGCTTGCCTCAGCCTCAGCCTCAGCCTGCCTCGGCCTCAGCCTGCCTCAGCCTCCCCTCCTACCCCCCCTTCCCCCCCATTCAGCCTCACCTTGTCTCAGCTTCGGCCTGCCTCGGCCTCATCCTCAGCCTCAGCCTCAGTCTCAGCCTGTCTCGGCCTGAGCCTGCCTCGGCCTCGGCCTCAGCCTGCCTCGGCCTCAGCCTGCCTCAGCCTCAGCCTCCGCCTGTCTAAGCCTCAGCCTGCCTCAGCATCAGCCGCAGCCTCAGCCTTAGCCTGCCTCGGCTTGCCTCGGCCTCAGCCTCAGCCTGCCTCGGCCTCAGCCTCAGCCTGCCTCAGCCTCAGCCTCAGCCTGCCTCAGCCTCAGCCTGCATCAGCCTCAGCCTCAGCCTGCCTCAGCCGCAGCTTGCCTCAGCTTCAGCCACAGCCTCAGCCTCAGCCTGCCTCAGCTTCAGCCTCAGCCTGCCTCAGCCTCAGCCTCAGCCTGCCTCGGTCTCAGTCTCAGCCTCAGCCTGCCTCAGCCTCAGCGTCAGCCTCTCAGCCTCAACCTCCGAGCACACCGTGGCGCTCGACAGGAGGCATCTCTCCTCCTCACTGCTCATGGGCTTTCGGATGCATCAGCCTGCCTCAGCGTCTGCCGCAGCCTGTCTCAGCCTCAGCCGCAGCCTCAGCCTCAGCCTCACTTGAGTTCCCCCATATCAGGCGTGGACCCGCGGCACCCCCGACTGACTTCCCCCACATCAGGCGTGTACCCGCGGCCCCCCCGACTGAGTTCCCCCATATCAGGCAAGCACCCGCGGCACCCGTCAGCTGAGTTCCCCCATATCAGGCGTAGACCCGCGGCACCCCCGACTGAGTTCCCCCATATCAGGCGGGCACCCACGGCACCCCCGACTGAGTTCCCCCATATCAGGCGCGGATCCCCGGTTTTCCCCGGCATCCCCCGGATCCTGCCCAGACCCCCCTGGGGAATCAGGATGCTCTCTTTTGACCCCACTAGAAACCTATCAGTCTTCGCTGTTAGGTAAAAATGTCCGAAAGGCTAACACAAATACCCAAAAGATAGTCCCCAAACTATTTTTTGACAATGTTTTGAAAATTTTGGGGGCATTCTTCATTTTTCGTCGAAAATCCCCCTGTAGGGGGACAGGCCCGACCTAGGATCAATGAGCTTAGCGCGTCGCGGCGGCGGCCTCGGGGACGCGCTGTGCCCTGCGAGCGGATCGCGCGTCGCGCCGCTCCGCGTGGCGGGGGGCTCGGAGGAGCTCGGAGCGCTGGCGCCGGGGGACTGGGAAGTTGCTGGCGTGTCGCACAGGAGCGTCTTGGGGGGAGGAGGAGGAGGAGGAGGGGGAGGGGGAGGGGGAGGAGGAGGAGGAGGAGGAGGAGGAGGAGGAGGAGGAGGAGGAGGAGGAGGAGGAGGAGGAGGAGGAGGAGTGAGGAGGAGGAGGAGGAGGAGGAGGTGGAGGAGGAGGAGGAGGAGGAGGAGGAGGGGAGGAGGAGGAGGAGGAGGAGGAGGAGGAGGAGGAGGAGGAGGAGGAGGAGGCGGAGGAGGAGGAGGAGGGGAGGAGGAGGGAGGAGGAGGAGGAGGAGGAGGAGGGGGGGAGGGAAGGGGAGGAGGAGGAGGGGAGAGGAGGAAGGAGGAGGGAGGAGGGGAGGAGGAGGAGGAGGAGGAGAAGGAGGAGGAGGAGGAGGAGGAGGAGAGGAGGAGGAGAGGGGAGGGGAGAGGAGGGGGAGGAGGAGGAGGAGGAGGAGGAGGAGGAGGAAGGAGGAGGGAGAGGGGAGGAGGAAGGAGGAGGGGGGTGAGGGGGGAGGAGCGAGAAGGAGGAGGAGAGGAGGATGAGGAGGAGGAGGAGGAGGAGGAGGAGGAGGAGGAGGAGGAGGGAGGAGGGAGGGGGGGTAGGGGGGAGGAGGGAGGGAGGAGGCGACGGAGGAGGAGGAGAAGGAGGAGGAGGAATGAGGAGGAGGAGGGGAGGAGGAGGAGGAAGGGGAGGAGGAGGAGGAGGAGGAGGAGGAGGAGGAGGAGGAGGAGGAGGGCGGGAACCGCGCGCCCTGTCCCATGTCGGCGCGACAAGCTATCCAGACATTCCAGACCATATGCGCACACACCGACCCTCCGGGCCCATCCTGAGCCTACCCCACCTTGGAAAAACGATGCACAGCTCGTGCGGGTCGCGTCGAGGCACCGTCCTGGGGCACTGCCCTGGGGATAATTTTCCATCCCGGGTCCGTTTCTGACGGTCCCGAGGCCCGAAAACGGCACCAGAGGCCGGAAACGACGACTAGCCGAAGGTGACGAAACCACAAATCGACCATTAAAGTTGCCTTGCTTTTCCAGGGCAACGCATAATCGTTTCACACGGCCTCCTGGCTTGGCTGGTGAGGCATATACACCGACTCTCAGCGAAGGATGGACATGGACAATTTGGGTGTATGTGCTTTGATCCCTTCGCCCGACCCCCTGGAACACATAATTCTTTAAGCGTCTCGCGCTAGCAAGATCATCCTGGATAAAGTCCGCTGGGTGGTAGGGGCATGCGGCCGCAAGCGTCGTCTGATGGTCGTGCTCCTGCCTCTGGCAGAAATGGCTGAAGAACCATCCTCATTCCCCAATCAGTGCTTGCAATGAAGCGGTCATAGCGGATATTGAAAGATTAAGCGAAAATTTCCCGCCGATTTTGGTGGCTGGCTGGGTTCCTGGGTTCCCGGTTCTGGGCTTCTGGGTTCCTGGTTTTTGGTTCTGGGCCGATTTCGTTGGGTTCCTGGTTATTGGTTCCCGGTCGATCTCCTCATCGATCAAACCATCCACTGATTGGGGTTTTTCTCTGGTGTATTAAGAAACACCCATGCAAGCGAAGGCCCATCAGCAAACGCCCACCAGGGACAGAGTCGACCAGGACAGGGCTGCCCAGCGAACGCACGGGGCCGCCGCACGAAGACCGTCCCCATACTAATTTTTGACTATCTTTGAATACTCCTCCTGTGGAGGAGGAGGAGGAGGAGGAGGAGGAGGAGGAGGAGGAGGACTTAATGCAAGGGGCACCCAGGGAGCGCGCTAGGCGGGAGGGCCGGCGTCGGCGGCGCCTCCTTCCCTCGCCTCCTCCCCCCTTCCCCTCGTCCTCTTCCTTGTCGTGGCAGGATAACCCAGAGTCGAATCGACAAGTCGGATCGGCGATCGACATGAACCGGATCGGCGGAACTCGGCAGCCCAGTCGGAAAAATCGAATCGGCGGACATCGACAGGCTAGTATGCCTCCACTAGGACATCGGAGCCCAAATCGGAACCCCAAGTCGAATCGGAAAAATCGGATCGGCGGACATCGACAGGCTAGTATGCCTCCAGTAAGAAATCGGAACCCAAATCGGAATCCCAAGTCGAATCGAATCGGAGTCGGAAGCCATCGAAATCGAATCGAATGTAATCGGAGGAATCGAAAGGAGCCCTGTCCCCCTCCCCTGAGCGAGCGCCGCACCCGACCAACATTGAGCCGGGCATGTCCCTCTACAGGAAGATTACTCCCAAGTGGTAACAAATAGTTTGGGGACGGTTTTCCTTACTATTTTTGGACTATGTTTGGAATATGTCTGACTATTTTCAAGGTTCTTCCAAAATCCATCTGCAGGAGGACATGTCCGACCTAAGACTAACATCGGCACGAGCGACTCTCGGTCGGAGCGTTCCGCGGAGCGCCAGTCCAACGGCGGTGCGGGCGATGTTACAGTCAAGACT